CACTTAGGCATTTTCTCAAACACTTGGTGGCATAAAGCTTCATAGTCCTTATTAATGGTGTTTTTACACCCAATAACCCATTCTCTTATTCCTAGATAAATTCTAAAGTCTCAAATGGTTATAATCAATATCATTCTTTATCACCCATAGGTAAACAAAACCCTTAACCAATAATCAACAATTAACACCCCAAAGCTATAACCGTTCATGCTTTTTTATCAAACCCATCAACTCATATCTCATGAACTAGAGTCTATAATCATTAATCCAATGCTAGAATCAATTAGAGGGTGAAGATATTACCTTTTTGACGTTCAATCCCCTTGAATTCGAGTTCTAGGGTTCTTTCTCTCAACAACGAAGTCCCAATCGAATATCTAATGATATGGAGGGTTTACCCATGTTAATAAGATGTTGAAAAATTAAAATTAACTTAGAATCACCCTTAGAACTTACCTTGGGTGGTGGAGAGACCCTTAAGGAGTTAGGTTTTTGAGAGCTTTTCTTTCTAGGGCAAGTTTTTATGTTTTGGGGCTGTGGGGGACGAAATAGGGCTAAAAAAATGACTTACCAAGTCGGCTACCACGTCCCAATAGGCCTGACCGCGGTCCCGACCACGGTAAATAGCTGGAGCACTGCCTCACGACCGCGATCGCGGTCAAACACGGCCGAACGCGGTGGTCACACACTATTTTGTAAAACGGGCATAACCTTTTGCACAGAAGTCTGTTCGGGCTCCATAATATATTGTTAGAAAGCTATTTCAAAGGCCTACAACTTTCATGCTTTAAGGTTTCCCAAATTCCTTACGCAGTTTCACTAAAATCTGCTAGAAGACGGACCTTCTGCAACTTAGTCGATTTTGTTGAATCTTATGCACCTCACCCGCCGTCTTGATTCCAAAATAACTATTTTCACCCATAATCATCCCGCTAGGACTTCATATATCTAAAATATTATATTAGTACCCATTTAACATATCCACATCTATTTCGAATGTACGGGATGTTACAAAAGAATCTTAGCTAACACCGGATAGGCCACCTTATATATGCACTATTTGAATCGTGAATGGAGGCCATTAAATCTAAGATTAAAAGTTAATAGATTCAAAATGATCATATAATATAGTGGGCATTCGGACATAAGAATTGTAAAAATCCAAAACACGGTGAATTTTTTTTTCAAGTGAAAATGATATTTAAAATTTATTAGAGTTGTGTTTGGACATGAATATAATTTTGGGTTGTTTTTGAAGTTTTGTGAGTGAAAATTTTGAAAAACAGTTTTTTAGAGTTTTCCAAATTTTCGAAAATTTTTAAAATGCATCTTCAAGTGAAAATTGTATATTTTATAAAAAAATGACTGATTTCAAAAAAAGTAAAATTTTTTTGGAAAAAAGGAATTTTTTTTTTTATGTCCAAACGGGCTTAAGCGAAAAGTAATTAATACTGTTGAACTAGAATCTGCCCTAAATCCGATCAGCACCGTATTAGCTGAACTTATTTTCATTTTTTCTAAAATAAAATCAACTAGTACTAAAATGTTCACTTAAACATGAAGATTGACAGACAAAATGATGTGAATTTAGTTGGCTAGTCGTATTCTAGTTCTAGGTTTAGTACATAGGATTTGGCTGTTGTTGGAAGCCATTAAATCAATTCCTCTATCCTTCACTTTATTTGTTGAACTAACCAATCGTCATGCATGGAAAAGTAGTTAAAACTACCACTTTTCATGATTATGAATAAAAACAAAAGAGAAAAAATGAAAGATTATGAACATTTAGGTAAGACAGCTATTCTTTCCCTTTTTTCTGGGATTTTCTTTGAATTTTGATTGAACAATCTGATAACGCTATCGTTACAGTTAGGGGTTATTTGGTTGGTTGTGATATAATACTCATATAAATTGACGTATTTTCCACTGTGTGCACCTTTAGATCGGCAGTATCAAACAATATCAACATAACTTTATGCAAGAATTTTATGTATTATTTATATGAAATAAATATATAAGGAGCATACATATATTACTAATACGAAGAATAAACTATATTTGAATACAAAAAATTCCTCTAGAGTAATTAATTCTTGTATAACAATAGGTCCTTCATTACTAACCACCCATAATAATTCATTTATTATTAATCACTCGCATAACAATTCAATCATAATTACTATATAAATAATCCATGCACTGTATTCTTGCATAGCTATTATGTCAATCAAGCGACCCCTTAATGCAGTAATAAACAATTATCCTTCAACCCTAAATTAGTAGGATTAATTATAATAATCTATATTATCTGACCCTCTCTGTTCAATTTTAGTATTTTATTTGAAATTTGAACAGTGTATGTTTTACGAAAAGGAGTACCAAATAAACTACTAATGCAAAAATCTGGGATTTCCAGCTCTCCACCGATCATTAATTAAATGTTTTTTTTCTGGTCTATGATCATTAAATGTTAATCAACCGCCCAAAGTTTTGTTTTCCAATCTTTCAAAGCGTTTCTAAATTCCTAAAAGCGACGCCGCAACAATCTTCCACGTTGCTACTTACCTTATTAGCTATAGCTATCCCCCTACTCCCTCCTTTCATTTTTACAGAGCATATATATTAAAAATAAATTTTTATTTTTACTTATCACTTTACACATATTAATAGAAGATAAATTTTTTTCTATTATCCCACAATATTTATTACTTATTTTAAATTATTTTCTCAAATCCAATAAAATATGCATCAATTAATATGAGTATTATGGTAAATTATGCACTTCATATATTATTTTTTAAGGGGTGTGAAAAGTCAAAATGTGCCAAGTAAAAATAAATGAGGGAGAGTATTAGTTAGTGTCAGAATTAGGAGTTTTTAAAAAAGGATTTCAAATATAAAAAGAATAAACACACAAAAAATTTAAAAGAATTCAAAATCTATTTTTCTTATATATATATAATGTAATTTACTGACGAAAGCAGTTTGATGTAGAGGCGGACATACATTGTAAAAAGAGGGGTCACCGCACATGGCATTTGGAAAACATTTCATATATATAGTGAAACATTTCTATAATAGTCTCGTTTGTTCTGATTATTTTTTGTTGCCATAATGAAGTATTGTTATAGAGGATATATATTATAACACAACATAAAAAATTGGTTCCGAATTTTTTTGACTTTTATAATAATGAATAACTATTATATATTGATGTTGTTATAGAGATGTCTAACTTATACTTTTTAAAATAATAATATATTAGTAGTGACACTCTGTATAATTTTTTTTTTTTAATGAATCCTTGTCCTAGCTTCACATACAGCTAGCTAAACCAAATTTACTTCAAGATTTTTTTCCCCCAACATTAAACCTGAACTTAAAGCCCACCACCACCATAGAAACTTCAGATTCCTTATTCCTCTTACATAGCCTCTGTCTCCAAAACTCACAACACACATCTTACTCCATTCTTACCCAAATAACACTTCCCTGTTCTCTCACTTTCTGTCCATTTTTCTCAGCTCAACATTATTCTTACCCCTCATTCAATTCACAATCAAAGCTATGAAACTTCCCTTGTTTTTCAGATTATTAATAAGCTTCTTGTTCTTACTATACAAACCCCTGAAATGTTTTTCCTCTACTACTTTCAACTCCCAGAATAATTCATCAATGTTAATTTTGGCGCTAAAAACTCAAGAAATGTCATCTGGGTCCTTCCCTAGAGCTGCAAACAAGCTTCCATTTACACACAATGTAACACTTACTGTTTCTCTATCAGTTGGTAGACCTCCACAGAATGTTACAATGGTACTTGATACAGGCAGTGAACTCTCATGGCTACATTGCAACTCAACCCGAATCAACCAACCTCTTTTCAACCCGAACCGGTCAGTTTCTTACCGACCCGTTTCTTGTTCATCACCAACTTGTACGACCCGAACACAAGATTTCTCTATACCAGCTTCTTGTGACTCCAAGAATTTATGTCATGCCGTGCTTTCTTATGCAGATGCTTCATCTTCTGAAGGGAATTTAGCTATGGATACGTTTAATATTGGTGGGTCAAATTTTTCGGATACTATATTCGGGTGTATGGATTCGGGTTTCAGTAGTAATTCGGATGAAGATTCAAAGACAACTGGGTTAATGGGTATGAACCGTGGAGCACTCTCATTTGTTTCACAAATGGGGTTTAAGAAGTTTTCATATTGCATTTCGGGATCGGATTTTAACGGCGTTTTGCTTCTTGGTGAGTCTAATTTTACTTGGGTTTTGCCGTTAAATTACACGCCGTTAGTAGAAATTTCACTTCCATTACCTTACTTTGATAGAGTAGCATATACTGTTCAACTTGAAGGTATTAAAGTTTCGGATAAATTACTTTCAATACCAAAATCCGTATTTGTACCCGATCATACCGGAGCGGGTCAAACCATGGTTGATTCGGGTACCCAATTTACATTCCTACTTGGTCCAGCTTATACTGCACTAAGGAATGAGTTTTTGAATCAAACTAAGGCAACTCTTAAGGTTCTTGAGGATCAAGATTTTGTTTTTCAAGGTGCAATGGACTTGTGTTATCGTGTACCTGTTAACGCAACGAAGTTACCTGCATTACCATCGGTGAGCTTAGTATTTCGAGGCGCGGAAATAACGGTTTTGGGAGAGCGGTTGTTGTATCGGGTACCCGGTGAAATTCGGGGCAATGACTCGATACATTGCTTCACGTTTGGAAATTCCGAGCTACTAGCTATCGAGGCGTATATTATTGGTCACCATCATCAACAAAATGTGTGGGTCGAGTATGATCTTGAAAAATCTCGCATTGGTTTTGCTCAAGTACGGTGTGATGTAGCGAGTCAAAGATTTGGTCTCTATCGTTAATCACAGGTCAAATATTTACTATTCTTTTCGGATATTATATACTATAATTCGAGTAAAAAATAGCGTGTGTTTCTGCCCGAGTCCAACAACAACAATAATCCCACATATGGGTTTGGGAAGGATAATCTTACCCTACGTGTGAAGCTAGAGAGGTTGTTTTTGCCCGAATCCATAGCACCAAAATAGATGGTGGAAAACATGTTGATGCAATTAGTTATACTACTATGGTGTGATTAATTGACTTTTGCAACTAGCTTTGAAATGTGGCGAGTGGTCCCAAGAAATTACACCGATGGAATTTATGAATTGCCATACTGAAGATGAAGGTGGGGTTGGTTTCATGGCTAGAATATGGTTGGTGATTTTAAAGAGAGGCTTTCAATTAAGAAGATTGTCCTTTCACAATTTTGTACATTACCTTTTTTGAGTTAGACAGAAGTTGGATGGTTGAAAGTTAGATATTCTTTGAGCTGGTTCGGCCATAACTGTGTGGCTGAAGATAAAGGGTGTGCTGATTTTTCAAAGGCAATTAATAATCTTCTTGTAGATTCTTGTCGTGTTTGGTGTTTAGAGGGTGTTTGGCTAAACTTATAAGCTGGTCAAACTGGCTTATAATCATTTTTTGTCTTATTTACGCGTTTGGTAAAATTAAAAGTGTTTATAAGTTAAGTGCTTATAAGCCAAAAATAAGCTAAAAGTCATAAGTTGGTCTCCCCCAACTTATCAAATTTCAGCTTATAAGCACTTTAGGTTTGAGCAAAATATTTACTATTCTACCCCTAAAATAATTCTTTTTAAACAAAACTCTTCGTATACCCAGTTCTTCAGCTGTTTATTATTAATTTCAGCATTTTTATTCAAACACGTAACTGCTTATTTTTTAAATCAGTTTCAGCACTTAAAAGTGCTTTTCAGCACCTAATACTTATCAGCTACTCTAAATCAGCTAAGCCAAACGGGCTCTTAGTCATGTATACTCAATTCATTTATTTTATCTTTTTGTAGGGAAATATATTGCTTATTGTAATAAATCCTCTTAATTATTGGAAATAATTTTTCGAGCCATTGGTATACTTGTCTCTCTCCAATATCACTGTCAAACGGTTGTACCTGCATTTACGTAAGACTGTTTACACGGCTTTAAAAATAAAAATAAAATTTAAACATTGAACCACCTGGTAAAGTTTTTTGTAAATATGCATGTTTGGGCTTACTCTCTCTGTTCTATATGTCTCCTCCATGCCTCTTGGGCTTGCTTGAAATTTTCGATTATTGAAAGATTGATCTTCAATATTAAAGTTGAGATGAACAAAATAATTTAGCCTATACTGTTTATATATACACATGTGTAAAGAATTTTTAATCTTTTTCGTATTCTACTGTAACTTGTATTTACTGTTATCTCTCACTGTTCTGGTTTGTGATTGAACTTTCTTACTATTCAACTTGTCTTCTAACTCTTTAATTATGTAAAGGACCATATAGGTTTGGCCATGCACACATTTCTGTAGGTCTGCCCATAAACACTGTGAATCGAAAGCTACTTCGGGCGCATGACTTGTCATTTATTGCTTTTCTGATTTCCTTTAAGTTCTGATGGGGCTGAGGCAGCACCTCATATGGTGAGATTGGCCTAAGGGCACGTTTGGTACGAGGTATAAAGGATGATTAATTCAGGATTAAATTTGAGATGAGTTTATCTTACGTTTGGTTGAGATAAACTTATGGTATAACTAATACCGGGATTGTAGTATTTTTTTAATTCCTATGGGAGGGTGGGATAACTAATCCCGAGATAACTTGTTTCCAAACCAAATGATCCCTAAATGTCGTACATATGATGGTTTAACGAAATAGTCAGCAGTGGCAGAGCTACTAGCCTTTTGGCTACGGGTTTGACCAAACCCAGTAGTTTTCATCAATAACAATAATAAATCCAGTGAAATCTTGTATGTTGAGTCTGGAGAGGGTAAAATGTACGCAGACCTTACCCCTATCTTATGACGGTAGAGAGACTGTTTCCGAAAGACCTCCGGCTCAAGAGAAATAAAAATGAAGCAATAAACAGATAGTAGCAACAACAAGGTAATAAGGCACATAAGCAAATGGTGCAACGTGCTTCCGTTGATATTTGTTTTAAATAGACATACAGTAGCTTTGACCAAATCCTATACTATTTGTCTTAAGAAATTCATTGAATATATACAAATTATTACTTTAGAATCCAATAGCTTAAAAAAATTAATATTCCAAATTCATAAATTTTAAATCTTAACTTCGCCTTTAACGGTCGGCATAAACTACAAACGGACAAACCATTGATATATTAAATCAGAATAAACTCGATTCTTAAGGAGTCCCAATCCCATAAGGAATTCACACAACACGATTTTTTAATTTTTATTGCACAAATCAGTATCTATACGCACAGATTTACGTGTCTACGTGTGAAAACTTGTATGAAGTTTGGTACAACAACTGTCATGCAAGTCTTGTAAATTATTCTGCGAGTAAATGGACGTGAAAGTGGTGATCATTATTAGAAATTCGGTTAAAATCGTCTTGGTCGAAGTCGTCGGTCTTTGAAATTATATACTCCCTCTATTCATATTTACTTGTCCACTATGGAGTTTGTACTCTTCCTAAGAAATAATAAATAAAGTATATAATTTGCCATTATACTCATATTAATTGATGCATATTTTTTATAAATTTAAAAAAATAATTTGAAATAAGCAATTAATAATGTGGGTATAACAGGAAAAAAAATTGTCTTCTCTTGATATGCTAAAAGTGACAAGTAAAAGTGAAAATTTATTTTTAGAATTGTGTATGAGTAAAATTAGGGATAAAGTTACCCCAATTTCCCGGTAAAGGAACGAGAGGAAAGCACGATTTGACATGGCCTCGAGTAGAGCTAAGGGATTCCACAGATCAGAGCCCGGGGAGGACAAATGGTGCACCCGGGACCGAACACGGTCGAGCATTGGGCTCGAGCAGAGTGAAGCGCCGAGACTAAGGAAAAAGACGGTTAGATAGGATAAGTGAGAGGCCAAAATATCCTCCTTCAACCGGATATTACGGCGCAAATCTCGCCCGATATCAACTGCGTGTCAATGTTTACTGGAAGGATTTTTTTTACCTTATTTAGACTTGTACTAGGATTGAAAATTCTCCTACCTTATAAGGGGGAACCTTTATTTTTAGGACCATTGTTGGCGCATACCAAACAATAAAGTTAATTTTTGTTCTCTAACTATTGTTTAAAATGTTGTTCAGCTGCTTGTTCATTGAGTTGCAATCGAGCCCGTTCCGAGGGCTGGATCGGAACTGATTTCCAAACGTCCATTGCAAAGCTAGATTTACTCATTCATCGCATTTGGTTTGATTGCTTTGTTTTCCTTTAATTCAATTGTTTATTGTTCTTAGTTCATTCGTGTTAAATTAAATCACATATCCTTTAAACCTCGTATAAATTCAAGTGTTACTTGTTTTAAGGGTAAACAGTTTGACACCCACCGTGGGGTAAAGGATAATAGTGGTGATTTAATACGAATCTCCATAACACACCCTATTTTACACTTGCTCAAAATCATGCCCAGAACAAGACCAAACCCGAGCGAGTTAGAGAAGGCGCTCAGAGAGATGAACAAATTATTGCAGAACCGGATGAGTTCGGACCTGGATAAACTTTCAAGGTGATAAAAATACTCGAAGCACTAACAAAACGGGTGGAGTCTGGTGAAAAGAAGATAGAGGTGAATGACAAGAAGGTGAAAACTAACAATTCAAGGGTCAATCAGATCCCGGGAGCACCTCTAATAATGAAAGGGCCGGATTCCAAAAAAGTTCATTCAGAAAGCTTTTCGCCCGAGTGCGGCACCGAAGCCAATTCCGAAGAGATTCTAAATGCCCGATATTCCCAAATATAACGGGACCACATATCCAAACGAGTATCGAACTTCCTATATGTGCGCAATAAAGGAAATGACCTAGAAGACGACGAGATCGAGTCGATGTTGTTGAAGAAATTTGGGAAAACGTTATCCAAATGGGCAATAATATGGTACCATAACTTACCTTTGAACTCTATTGATTCATTTTCTATACTTGTAGATGCTTTTGTTAAAGCCCATGCCGGCACTATCAAGACGAGGAAATCAGAGCTCTTCAAAGTCAAGCAAAGAGACAATGAGATGCTTAGAGAGTTCGTGTCGAGGTTCCAAATGGAACGAATGGTTCTGTCCCCGATCGCAGATGATTGGGCTGTCGATGTTCCATTTCTTCTTAACAATTAAAGCAAAACTTGGTGGAATACCCGACGGTTACTTGGGCCAATGTTCATAACAGGTATCAATCAAGGATCAGAGCCGAGGATGACCAGCTGGGGGCCCCCTCGGGGTCTGTTTACCCCAATAGAGCGAATGACAAATCTAAAAGGATTATGGACCAAGAGCAAAAGCTGGTCTGAAAACCGTATTAGCCATATGGCTCAGATAGAAAGGGAAATAAACCCAGTCGCCACCCAGCCAGGAACGACATGAGAAGTGAGATCTGATGAGTAACCACGGTTTTGACAGATCACTTGGGGGCAGGGAAGCCCCAAGACTATCGGAATATAACTTCAACGTCGATGCTACAAGTATAGTCGGCCATTGGTCGCATCAAGGAGACCAAAGGGCCCAGACCACTTCATTCCGATCCCGCACAGAGGGATCACAACTTGGTAAGTAAATAATAAGGTACTCACGGTCACATGACCGAAGATTGTCGGCATCTAAGGGAAGAAGTGGCTCGTCTATTGAACAATGGGAATATTTAGGAATTCCTAAGTGAGCGGGCGAAAAATCATTTCAAAAACAGTGACGCCAACAAGCAAATTAAGCAAGAGGAGCTTCAACACGTGATCAACATGATTATTGGGGGAGTATATGTCCCACAAAGGCCAATTATAAAGTGCACCAAAGTTTCTATCACAAGGGAAAAAGGCACTCGGGACTACGTCCCGGAGGGATCCATCTCGTTTAGTGACGAGGATGCCGAGGGCTTCATTCAACCTCACAACGATGCACTACTAATATCTTTACTTATTAATAAATACTAAGTTAAACGCGTATTCCGGTAGCTCGACCAACATCATCCGATGGAGGGTCGTAGAACAATTGAGATTATTGGACTAAATCGTACTGACAATATGATTATTGAATGGGTTCAACATGGCGTGCGAGACAACGAAGGATGAAATAACCCAACTGATAAATACTGTCGGGACCAAAGGAAACAAAATTTTATGTGATCGAGGGGGATATGAGGTATAATGCCTTATTCGGAAGGCCATAGGTCCACAACATTAGAGCAGTGCCTTCAACCCCACATCAGGCATTGAAGTTTCCCACCCTAGGCGGAATCAAAATAGTCTATGGGAAACAACCGTCAGCAAAGAAGATGTTCGTTGTAGAGGAGGTGATCCTGGTGCCCGCGGTCCCAATATCAAAAGGAAGGGACTGACCGAAGAGAAAGAAACCATACAACAATCAACGATCCCA